ACTCACCGCTCGTCCGCAACTGCGGCAGATCGCGCCTCTTCGTGCTTCCGCTTGCTCGCCCGACTTGCGCGTCCGTGGCCGACGAAGACGATGTTTTGGTGGATGCCCTCGCACCAGTGCGTGCTGAAGGTCTTCTCGTTGAGCTCCTTCTGAATGACCTTGCCGATTGGGGGCAGCGCTGCCAAGCCGAGCTTTTCTCTGACTCCGCTACTGCGGTCAGGGTCATCCTCCCACTTGGGCATGTACTTCGCTGGGACCCAGCGCCGAGAGATGATGGAGTCGCTTGTTCGATGCATCCAATCAGGGAGCCACTGGGGATCGTTCTTCGACGGCCTCCCTGCAAAATCAATGTTGTAGTCCGCAATGCGCACGTCGCACGGGCCAATGGGGAGGACGTAATTCGGATGCATGACGCGTGTGCCCTCCACAATGCCTCCGAACAGGGCGGGTCCAGCCCTGAACACCACCCCCACCGGGCAGGTGTAGCTGGCTCCGCAACTGCGGCCAAATGCTGCGAGCTGCTCAGGCGGGATGTCAAACAGGCCGCACAAGAACCGCACATCATTTTTATGGATGGAAGCAACCGCGTCCTTGAAGAAACCTGGATGCCACGCTGTTTGTTCTGTTTGCGTGATCTTCTGTTGGAGACGTTCGGTGACTGCGTGTCTGGACACGACGGCAAAACGGATCACCGCGGCAGGATTCATCTCGGAGCCCTTCAGGCGAAAGCTCAGGATCGTGACGGCGTGGGTGGCCCCAACAACATGACCCGCAACTGCGGTCTCTGCGATGATGTGCGGGCGCACGAGCACCACGCCCGTGTCTCTGAACAGGGCAACCGTCGTCCAGTAAGGCTCCACGGAGGCGTTTTTCAAAGTGACAGCGTCGTCGACGGCAGTCCTGAGTCCAACGCGAACGTCGTAGCTGCAAGCGCCTTCGACGTTCCCCGTGCGGAACAGCTCGGGGTCCCATACGACGAAGACGACCGCCGCAGTTTGGTGCAAGATGCACCTGAAGACATCTTCCTTTGTTGCCACCTTCGTGATGACCACCACGTTGAACACCAAAGCGATGGTGGACGGAACCCGATTGCCGTCTGCTGTACGAAGGAATCCTTCGTTCCACTTGGGGCGTTCCCCAAAGTAGTTTATCCCTGGAGGGGACCTGGTCCGCTGCTTCTTCCGCGGTGCTCCCGCATCTTCCCGCAACTGCGGTTCCGACGGAGGCCCCGCGCGACCCCGCGACTGCGGTTCTGACAGCGGCGAGTCTTCCGTGGGAGGCGGCCTTTTCCTCGGCCGCGAATCGGCCGAGGCGGTTGTCTCGGCGGCTTTCTCCTGGGAGGCGGCCTCGTCTTCGGGTTGGGCGCCTCGTTTGGACTCGGCTGCGAGCAGCACGGCCGAGGGCGCGCTGCTCCCAGATGAGCCGCGCGCGGCACCTGGCTCGCCGGCCACCCCCGCAACTGCGGTCTCGGTGGCGGCTCCCGTCACTGCTGGTTGGTCCTGCTGCTTCGTCGGCGTCTGCGCCCGAGGCCCCCATTTTGCCTTGGGGGTCAAGTGCGCCCTGCGCAACTGCGCCTCTTCGCGCCTCCCACCAGCAGAGCTCCCACTCGCAGCGCTTATCGGCGGCGGCGGCCGATATTCCCGCGAGGAGCTAGACGACTGCGGGGAGGCCTCGCGCGGCGGTCGCTCGGGGCTTCCGCAACTGCGGTCCTCCGTCGGCTCCGCGACTGCGGCATCCGCGGCAGCCCCTTGCAGGCCGAACCTTTCCCGCAGTTGCTGCTTCAGCTCGGCGAACCGCTTGTCGACCTCGGCTTTGCGACCTGGGTCCATGGCGTGGCCGCGCGCGGCCCCCGTCCGACGGGGGAACTGCGGCCGGCTTGGGAGAGGAAGGACAACGAGGGAGACGGCGGGGATGAGGACGAGGAAGGCGAAGAGGAGGATGGAGAGGACGCGACGGAAGAGGATGGCGCGAAGAGCTCAGACGAGGGTGAAAGGAGCAAGGGGACTGCGACGAGGATGACGGGGCAGAAACGGAGGAGGAGGAATCAACAAAGTCCGCAACTGCGGCCCTCGGGGGGGACTGCGACGAGGACGACGGGAAATGACTCGGCCAACGGAGGCGGGCTACGGCCAACGGAAGGAACTGCGACGAGGAGGAAAGGCGGAGGGAGGAGACTGCGACGAGGACGACGGGGAAGGGGCGACGAGGACGACGAACAACTGCGGATCCATCTGTTTAAGTACCTGTCTCCGCAACTGCGGCCGCGCTAATTAACGTCACGAGTGCTTCAACGGAGGTGATGCGCGCCCGAAGCACCTAATTACAGCGGTCAGTCGTGGGAGCGCCGCAACTGCGGCCAAGCTGTATGAAGTCGCTAGAAGGCAGCGCCGCAACTGCGGCCGAAAGCGCGCATAGTGAGTCAAACGAGCGCGGCGTCACGCGATCGGTCCCCGCAACTGCGGTTCCATGGCTGCGCAATCCCGCAACTGCGGTGTCAAGGCTGCGCGGACCACCGCGGTTGCAGCTGCGCCCCCTTGCTCGCGTCGAACCGCCCAGGATTCGGATGGGCGTGCAGCATCTTCCAGAACGTGAACGTTCCGTGGCCATCGCTCTTGCCGAGACCTGCCCTCGGGCCCCGCACGGGATGCGAGTGCGGCTCCACCTCATACGTGTTGAACTTCGGGCTAGACCAGGATGGGTGGACGCGAATGCCCGAGCCGTCGTCGCGGATGAGGACGAAATCCCACTGGGGCAGAGGGATTCTTTGCGCCTGTCCTCTGTCCACCCCTTTCGTGTGCCTCATGTTGTCGAGACTGCTAGGGCACGGGCGGCACTCGCAGCGGACCAACCCGCGACTGCGGTCATTGTCAGGGCCGCACACGACGCGCAGCATTGTAGGTCCATCCATCTGCGCGACCATCTCCAGCCAAGACCACGGCACTTTGACAGTGTGGTCCCAGTCCCAATCCCTGTTGTCCTGCGCCTTCCCCTTTGCGCGGTACTTAAGGATCTTCGAAATTTCCTCCGCAACTGCGGTACCTCCGAAGACGGGCGTGCGGCTGCCGAAAGGGTTTTCTCGGTCTTCGTACTCGTCTCGGAACCACTTCAAGGCCGCGTTGTGCTGCTTATAATTGCCGTTCCAGTTCGCCCTGAAGTTCTCGAAGAATTCCAACTTGAAAATTGGCAGCGGCTCATTGCGCACAATTTGAAACAGCGCAACTGCGCCTTGTTCTTCGCGCCCTGGGGGAAGCAGGGGACCGCCTCCTTTGCCCGCCGCTGTTGCGGCCGCGGGCTCCGCGGCAGGAGAACCTGCCGAGGCACTCGAGCGGCCACCTTCCCATGCATTCCACCAGCCACCCTCGTCGTCCCACCAGCGGGCGCCCTCCATTCCCCAACCCTCGCATCCGTTGCCGCCCCATCCGCCGCCCTCCCATCCGCGACTGCGGTCACTTCCGTCGCCGCCATCCTGCGCTTTTCCTCTCCATCCGCCAAGAGAATCTCCGCCGCCCCAGCCGCCACTGCGGTCACCTCCGCCGCCGTATCCGCCACTGCGGCCGCCCCAACCCCCACTTGTTCCCCAACCGCCGCCGCTGCTCTTTGAAGAATCCGCAACTGCGGCCCGTGTTTCCTCTTCCGCTTTGTCATCCCACCCTGCACGCATCTCTGCCCCGACTGCAGGCCGCGGAGGCGGGCGCGAGCCCGCCCAACCGCCGTGAAACCTACCGTCGGCGCGGGCTTGAGCCGAACGTGCATGGAGGAGGAGGATGAGGAGGAGGAGGGTGAATGTGAGGAGGATGATGCGTTCCTGGGAGGTGTGCCTTCGCGTGCAACACAAGAGCCCTGAGAATTCCTGAGGCCCCTCCAACAGCCAAGGACGCGGATGACAAGAAAGTCGAGAAGATTGGGAACCGATTGAGGATTAAGAGGCGTGCGACGAAAGGGATGATGATGACGAAGAGGAAGATCAGTGAAGGGGAGGAGCGGACAGGAATTATGGAGGAGTGATAGCAGAGGAGGAAGAGGGGGAAGGGGGAGGAGGAGAAGGAGGAGGAGGAGGGAGAGGAAAAGGGGGAGGAGGAGGAGGAGGAAGAAGGTGAGGAGGAGGAGGAGGAGGAGGAGGAAGAGGAGGAGGAGGAGGAGGAGGAGGAAGAGGAGGAGGACGACGACGACGAGGAGGAGGAGGAGGAGGAGAGGGAGAAGGAGAACGGGGACAGGAGGACAAGGACGGAGAAATATAACAAATGAGGGGGAGGAGGCGGAGGAGGAGGAGGACGAGGAGGAGAAGCAGGAAGAGGAGGAGGAGAGGGGGGAGGAAGAGTGCGCGTGAGACTGGGAGAACGAGGTAATTAATTAGAGAGGGAACGGGGGAGGAGGGAGGACAAGGAAGAGCATACAGCGACGAGAAGAGGAGAAGGAACAGACGAAGGCTCCTGCTGATCGCATTTCCGCATCGTTCAAAGCAGTGCCGGGGCACTGCTTTGAACGACTGGTGATGTTCAAAGCAGTTCCCCGGCACTGTGTTCCATCGTCGCCGTTATAAGGGCTATTGGATTATGGGGCCGCGAAACGTGTGAGGGGTGTGCAGTAATGTGCAGTGAAGGGGCACGGATGGGAGGAAGGGGGAGAGAAAGAGGAGGAGAGAGCCGGAACGCCAGGCGCTGTCCTGTCAAACCGAGGACCCGACACCACATGATGGTTGGGAACAATCACATGGCCTGAGTGAATCCTAAGACGGCCCACAAAGACTCCAAGACGCCCCCCAGACGGCCCCGAAAGGCCCCCAAAACAACGACACAGGAGCAGACGCGAGGCTTGTCCGGCAGTGTCCCCCGCGAAGCGGTTTGTACCAATGCGTTACCAACCGACGACGCATCCAAGTCGCTACTTGTGTCGTCGTCGTTGTCGTCGTCGTCCTCCTCCTCCTCCTCCTCCTCCTCCTCCTCCTCCTCGTCATCGTCATCGACATTCAGGGTCGGCGGCACTAGCCGTAAGGCTTACGCAATACAGTTGCCGCGAGGCATGCTTCTGGGACCGTCCCCCGGGACGAGTCCCGGCAGCGCGCCGGCGGCCATACGAGGACCATGCCCGCCGAGGAGGCCTTGGGCCAGGTCCCTGCGGGTGTCTGCAGAGCCATGCCAGACATTGGACGCGACAGCGCACGACGGCACCCACCAACTCCTTACCCGCTTCCCGTCGCCAGTGCGCTGCAGCGACGCGTGAGGCTGGGGCAGCGCTGTGCATGCTGCCCGCGCCGCAAAAGGCACGACGTCGGCATCCTCCCCGTGCCTCGCCCCGCCTTTGTGGGCGCGCGGGGCCCCGTGGGCGGGCGCCCGTGGGATCACGGCCAGGAAGCTGGGAACACACGCGGCTGGAGGCGCATGCGCGAATCACGTGCTCGGCTGGATCCACATGCCTGGCCCCGCGATGGCCGAGCGATGGGAAAACACGTGGCCGCGTCCTGCTCCCGCCAGGGGTGACAGCGTCACGAGGCGGCTCCGCGAGCCCCGAATCCCCACACGACCGATGCGGCGAGGGCAGTGGACAAGGAACCCTTGGGCCAGGAATCCAGGGCCTGGAAGCTGGTGGAACGCCCACTGAGGCCTGGCCGTGTACATCACCGCCCCCCTAGTGAGACCAAGAATCGTCCAGGGTAACAAGCCTCCTGGGAACATTCCTTTAAGGAACGCCCCCACCGTATCTCCCAACCCCCCGACATCCTCAATTTTTCATGACCTGGATCCCCAGCGTGCTGGAACCCATTCCCCAGGACCAGTTCTTCATCCCGAGTCGTGTTGTGACGGTCCCGAGGCCCCGCGAGGGCCCCCTGAGGCCGAACATTTAGAAACATATCCCGGCAAAGCAATCTAACAGCGATGTGTAGGAGCATATCTGGGCGCATTCCCCTTAAGATTCAGATGATAATCCAGTTGTAGAAATCTGCTGTTCTCGCAGTCGTAGTCGCATTCGCGATGACAGTCGCAGTGGCAACGGCAGTCGCAGTCACAGCCTCAGCCTCAGCCTGCCTCAGCCTCAGCCTCAGCTTGCCTCAGCCGCAACCTGCCTCAGCCTCAGCCTCAGCCTGCCTTCAGCCTCAGCATCAGCCTGCCTTCAGCCTCGGCCTCAGCCTCAGCATGCCTTAGCCTCAGCCTGCATCAGCCTCAGCCTCAGCCTCAGCCTGCCTCAGCATCAGCCTGCCTCAGCCTCAGCCTCAGCCTGCCTATGCCTCAGCCTCAGCCTGCTTCAGCCTCAGCCTCAGTCTGCCGTCGGCCTCGGCCTCAGCCTCAGCCTGCCTCAGCCTCAGCCTGCATCAGCCTCAGCCTCAGCCTCAGCCTGCCTCAGCATCAGCCTGCCTCAGCCTCAGCCTCAGCCTGCCTCAGCCTCAGCCTCAGCCTGCTTCAGCCTCAGCCTCAGTCTGCCTTCAGCCTCGGCCTCAGCCTCAGCCTGCCTCAGCCTCAGCCTGCATCAGCCTCAGCCTCAGCCTCAGCCTGCCTCAGCCTCAGCCTCAGCCTCAGCCTGCCTGCCTCAGCCTCAGCCTGCCTTCAGCCTCAGCCTAGCCTCAGCCTCAGCCTCAGCCTCAGCCTCAGCCTGCCTCAGCATCAGCCTGCCTCAGCCTCAGCCTCAGCCTGCCTCAGCCTCAGCCTCAGCCTGCTTCAGCCTCAGCCTCAGTCTGCCTTCAGCCTCGGCCTCAGCCTCAGCCTGCCTCAGCCTCAGCCTGCATCAGCCTCAGCCTCAGCCTCAGCCTGCCTCAGCATCAGCCTGCCTCAGCCTCAGCCTCAGCCTGCCTCAGCCTCAGCCTGCTTCAGCCTCAGCCTCAGTCTGCCTTCAGCCTCGGCCTCAGCCTCAGCCTGCCTCAGCCTCAGCCTGCATCAGCCTCAGCCTCAGCCTCAGCCTCAGCCTGCCTCAGCATCAGCCTCAGCCTGCAGCCTCAGCCTCAGCCTGCCTCAGCCTCAGCCTCAGCCTGCTTCAGCCTCAGCCTCAGCCTCAGCCTGCCTCAGCCTCAGCCTCAGCCTCAGCCTCAGCCTGCAGCCTCAGCCTCAGCCTTCAGCCTCAGCCTCAGCCTCAGCCTCAGCCTCAGCCTGCCTCAGCATCAGCCTCAGCCTCAGCCTCAGCCTGCCTCAGCCTCAGCCTCAGCCTGCTTCAGCCTCAGCCTCAGTCTGCCTTCAGCCTCGGCCTCAGCCTCAGCCTGCAGCCTCAGCCTGCAGCCTCAGCCTCAGCCTCAGCCCTCAGCCTCAGCCTGCAGCCTCAGCCTCAGCCTCAGCCTCAGCCTCAGCCTGCTTCAGCCTCAGCCTCAGTCTGCCTTCAGCTCGGCCTCAGCCTCAGCCTGCCTCAGCCTCAGCCTGCAGCCTCAGCCTCAGCCTCAGCCTGCCTCAGCATCAGCCTGCCTCAGCCTCAGCCTGCCTCAGCCTCAGCCTCAGCCTGCTTCAGCCTCAGCCTCAGTCTGCCTTCAGCCTCGGCCTCAGCCGCAGCCTGCCTCAGCCTCAGCCTGCCTCAGCCTCAGCATCAGCCTGCCTCAGCATTCAAAATGTGGCCCGGGAATGGAGTTCTGGGAACTCGAAGAACACGAAGTGACCTACAGTTGGCTCCGGGCATTCAAAATCATACCCAGGAATGGAGTTCTGGGAACTCGAAGACCACGAAGTGGCCTACAGCTGGCTCCGGGCATTCAGAATCATGCCCAGGAATGGAAGTCTGGGAACTCGAAGACCACGAAGTGGCCTACAGTTGGCCCCGGGCATTCAAAATCATGCCCAGGAATTGGAGTCTGGGAACTCGAAGAACACGAAGTGGCCTACAGTTGGCCCCGGGCATTCAAAATCATGCCCAGGAATGGAGTTCTGGGAACTCGAAGACCACGAAGTGGGTTACTGATGGCTAAAAAAGGAGTTCCCGGATCCCGTCCGGGTCTCGCCCAGAGCCCCCTGGGGAGTCATGATGCTCTCTTTTGACCCCACTAGAAACCTATCAGTCTTCGCTGTTAGGTAAAAAACTCCCGTCATGATATAATCATGAGTCGAGGGGGTCTGGGCTCCGAGGGGAGTGCATCTCTCACTTCCGCCAGCTTCCACCAGCCTTGCCTCAGCCGGGGCGCCCTCGTTCTGCTTCCGCCGGCGTCAAGCCCTCTCTGGAGCGCACCATGTCTCCACAGCTTCCTGGCAGCCAGGGTGCATCCCTGGTGGCACTGCTCCAAGGGAAACTGTGTATCTCCCTCCCGCGGCAGAAACAGAGCGGGTGACCGTGGAGAGAAGGGGAAAAAAGAGATCAGCGATTGGACTCAGCGTGGCACTGCGCCACCCCTTGCTGGGCCTTGTCGGCTCATTGCTCGGCCTGGCCGGCCTGGGCCGGCATGGGGCGCGAACTGATGGAGTGGCCTGTATGGCCCCATCGGCGATGTCGACGTGAGGCCAATCGGGCTCCACATCGAGCCGCCTCGGCGACGCATCGGCGATGCGGCGCGACCCCATCTGCTCCGACCCCATCTGGAAGGCCCATGTAGATATAAAGGGCCGTGGTCCAGGTGCAGGCGAGCGGGCGGGCGGGCCCGGAGGGTGGGGCCCTCCGGGGCGGAAAAAGGAAGCCGTGCTCAGATCTGTTGCCGATGGGGAGCAGGAGGCCCGGCGAGCGAGCGAGGGGGGGAAGCGAGAAAGCGAGGGCCTTCTCAGGAGGCGTGGGGCTTCGCAGAAGCCATCGCGCCTTCGGAGAGGCTTGCTGCGCCCGTCGGGAAAGCTTGGGGAACTTCTCGGAAGGCCAGGGGGCTCCCGAGCCTGCAGAGGAGGCCCGCCCCTTCTCACTTCTCCCCTGGGCTCGCCACCGAGAGGCGGCGGCGGCGCATCGGTGTCGTGCTGAAGGTCGAACTGAATCGAACAGAGAAACATGGCATCAGCAATGACCGACTTACCGTCCGCGCATCGTGAGATGGCGACTTAATGACGGCCGCTCGTGGACTGAGAGCCTCGGGTCGTCCTCGCTCGACCACGGTTACACAGTGAGCACGACGACAAACATAGTTACATTCAAGAGGTTCAGCAACAACTTGGACCTCAAGAGACCCACGAGGCCGGCACCAGCAGGAGGAGGAGGAGGAGGAGGAGGAGGAGGAGGAGGAGGAGGAGGGGGGGGGAGGGGGACAAGGCGGGGGATGAGACAAACGATAGCGGAAACACATGGTTGCCGCCACGCATGGCAGTATGCCCATAACGCGCACTACCCCAAGTAGTTGCGACAGGCAAGAGTGAGAATCGCTGTTGACATGCATGGGATCACAAGTCAGGGAGTCACATCGTGACCTCATTGCCAGAGGAAGACGGCGAGCCATCAGAACCATGGAACTCTGAGGACAACAACTGCTCGGCCATCTGCTTGGTCAGCGGGCACCCGTTCTGAGATGAGCCCGGAAGATACACCCACGGAAGGTACTCTTTGTTTTCGGCGCGGAACTTGCGCCCCGACATGAGATCCATCACAAAATTGTACAGCCCCTGGTGGCGGGCGCGATGCGCCACCAATCTCGAATTCGGGTTGGCGATTGCCCAATTCACGGCCAGGTCACTGGGCCTGCTTTGCAGCATCCTCGAGAATTTCTCTGCATCCGCTGCCTCCCTGAAGTTGACGTGGAAATACCCCCTGTTCTGCCTGTTCACGAAATCCTTTGGCACGTACAGCAGGTCGAACGCTTTTGTGAAGCCGGATCCCTCGAGCATGGCGTGCACGTCATCCCTCCCGCACTTCGCATGTATCCCTTTCACGATCAGGGCAGTGTCGCCTGCCCCTGGCGGCTCCTCTGCCTCGTCTTTGCCCTTGTTGCACTTCGCCTTCGCTTTCCGACTCCGCGGCTTTTCCCCGGGCTGTGCGTTGTCCCGATCCTTAGTTTCGCCCTCGTGCGTGTAGGCCAGCTCCTTCTTGGCGTAGTCGTCAAGCGTGGACTCCTGGGTGTCCAGCTGATCACGTGCCTGCGCCGCCAAGTAAGCAAGCAACGCATCCGACTGCCCCGTTGCCGGTGGGCCGGTGGAGAGAATCGAGAGGCTCTCATCCGCGCCACAGGACGGGTCCCCGAGCGCTAGCTGACTGGGCGGGTAAATGGAGCAGGCGACCTTCTGGAGAATCGGGGCCCCCTGGGGCGGTGCGCAAAAGATAGGGACAAGGCGGAAGTCATCTACAATGGCGTTCCTATAGCGTTGACCATCCCATTAGAAGTGTGACCCCCTTTTCCGGGATAATCCTACGACATGGGCCCACACTTAACAGCTTCTCTTTATATGTTGTGTTATGTCCATTACGGCATGTAAAAAACCTGGCCCCGCACGCTTTCGACTGAAAAAACACAGTCGGCAGTCGGGAGTGAACTCACCCCGCTTATCGCTGCTTCCGACAAGACTTGCTCCACGTCCTCTGAAACTCACTCCGTGCCGTTTTATCACGACGGTAAGCGGTTTCTGCGTTCAGAGACATGGTGCTTCGACGCAACATTGCCCGACGATGGGCTCATGCCGTGCCCCTTGATTCACATGCGCACCGTGGCAGAATGGTCACAAACATGAGTAATGGGTTAGACAGGCGGCAGGGGGGCTTCTCACAAGGCTCCAGAGGCCCCGAATCCCACCAGCCCTCTGAGCGTAAGCGGCTTAGCGGATTCCTTCTCCCAGGTCCCTTCGTCCCCCTTGGGAGGGGGTTTTGTCGTTGCCCCGTATTGATAATTGGTACCCCCCGTGATTGGACCGGCCGCCAACAAATAGCAGTGCGGCCCCCATCGCCTCTGTCAGCAGAAAACTGTACAACGCGCACGTGGCGGCGAATCTAGGTCATGAGCGGGCACCCTGCCATCACTTCGCCTTGGTTTTTGACATGGACGGCCAGGGCCAAATCACATCGCTTGTCCGCTGTGCGCTCGCCCACTGCCCGCACCAGCAGCGAATGTAGACGGACTGCGGGCGCACACGCCATGCACCGTACCATCGGCGCACCTGGCACGCGTGGCGCACCTCGCGAGCGTCGCGAATCCAGCGCTCGTATTTGCTTCCGATGGCTGTCCACCCGATGGCGACCTCTGCCTGTGCTGAGTCTCGGATGCTGCTTGTAGACAGGTGTCGGACGCCCGTGTCCCCCCCAGATGGGATTGGGGGGCGAAGACGACGACCACAAGTATGTCGACCAAGACGACGATGACCAGGACGGCGACGGCGACGGAGACGATGACGACCACCACCACGAGAACAAAGACGATGACGACGAGTGCGGTGACGACTACAACAACGAGGACGGCGGCCGGCGATGATGACGCCAAGGACGACAGTGACGCCGGAGGCGGTCGCCACCGTCGACGACATCGAGGACGACGACCACCTCAGGGATCTCTGCTGGAAGCTGACTGTGCTGTGAGGTTGCAGCGATCCCGCTCCCTGAAGCAACCACAGGACCACACCACACAGGGGGGGGAGCACGGCGCTCATGCGCAGACATGCACGCAAACACGCACGCACAGCCCCCACCACCACACAACACCACAGGGGGGGAGGCATGATGGCGGGGACACCAGCGGAGGGCCCTGGACCCTGGACTATACATATGGTGGGAGGTCGGGTGAGAGTGAGCGAGATAGCTGGCGGCGTTCCCGTTGGGAACTCGACCCCTCCCCAGACCCAGAAGGGGCGGCGGGAGCAGTCAGAGCGTCCAAGATGCCCCAAGATAGGCCAAGATGGCGTCCAGGATGGCACGAGGTGGCCCAAGATGTCTTCCAGTATTCCCCAAAGAAGACCCAAGATGGCCCCAAGTGGCCACAAGGTCTCCCAAGGCTAAAGGGCGCGCCCCCCCCCATCAGAGTCCGCAGACCCCTTTGCGGGTCTCTAGGTGTGTGAGATTCTTCCCCCCCATAGTCCCCCCCAAGGGATCCCAAACCGGGGGTTCGACCACCCCCCAGCCCAGGAGGACCCCAGACCGAGCGCGTCATGGGGGGGCAGAGGGCCCCTAAAGAGGCCATGAGGGGACTCAGACGCCTCCCGGACGGTCCAAGAGAGTCCACAAATCGCTCCAAGACGCCCAAATTGGCCCCAAGACGGCCCTGCAGGCCGCCCAATCGCCCCAAGAGGCTCCAAGAGGCCTCCCAAGAGGCCAAATCATTGAGTTTCATTTCTTTTAAACAAGTTTTCGGTTCGGAGTTCTCGCCCTTACGGTTTTCCGACGCTCCAAGACCGTCCAAGAGGGCCCGAAGACCGCTCCAAGACGGCCCAAGAGACCCCCAAGACGGCCCAAGAGGGCCCCAAGACGGCCCAAAAGCCGCCGAAAACGGCCCAAGAGGCTCCCAAGACGGGCCCAAGAGAGGCCCACGAGGGGGACCAGGAACTGAAAACTCTACCCTTCCGCCCCAAGGCGCCCCAAGACGGCCCAAAGAGGCCCCAAGAGGCCCCCGAGAGGCCCCCAAGACGCCCCAAGAGGTTCCCAATACCCACAAAAGGCTCGAATAAGCCCGAAAAGGCCCCAAACCGGCCCCCAAGACGCCTCAAAACTGCCTGCCAGAGACCCCGAGAGGCCTGCAACGTCCAAAAAAGCCCTTGAGCCGTCCGGTATCGTCTCCGAAAAGCCCAACAAACCAAACCAGGCCCCGATACTTATGCCCGCGGGAATCAAAAAGTTGTCGGATGTGGCGTAAGCCTGTAGAATCAATACTGCTCAAGATGGGCTTCAACACGTCTGCAAGATGCCCCAAGATGACCCCGAGTGGCATTGGAGCCCATCAGGGAAACCCAAACCTGTCAAAGCCCTAAGGTACTTGAGTGAGTCGTACCTTCTCGCCTTGTCGGTTCCGATGGGCATCTGATGCCGCATCATAGCTCCAATATCGCCCAACAGAGCCCCAGGAAGGACACAGAAGTGCTCCAAGACAGCCTCAAGAGCGCCCAGACCGCCCTCAGGGCGTCTCAAGAGACCTCAAAGATGCGACCCTGTGGGCGCCAACGGGGGGCTGACATTTGTGCCACCACCGTTGTTTAATCGATGGTCTAAGTGACGGCTCCTAGAAGGCTCCCAAGGGCCGCGAGAAGGCCCCCGAAAGCTACTAACATTGTGCAAGAAGGCGAAGTACATTCCCCATGGGGCCTGCTGGATGCACCCAGCATGAAAGGTCACCGACATCATCTGTGGATGCGTCCTGATCATCATCCTCATGTTGCCCGTCCCGCCTCATCCTCCTCCCGCCTCCTCCCAACTAAAATGCACCAGACGTCGAGTGGAAGCACATTCCGTCCATGTTCTCTTCCTTCTGCTCGCCAGTATCCTCCTTCCAATTCCTCCTCCTCCTCCTCCTCCTCCTCCTCCCCCTCCTCCTCTTTCGTCTCCCCCTCCTTCTCCTCCTCCTCCTCCTCGCTCCTCCTCCTGCTCCTTCGAAATCGCCGCGAAGGTCTACACAATTCAGGGTCTAGGATTCCGACCGCCCTCCGCCTCCCCAACTGGGATGGGTCCCAAGCCACCCCCCCTCCCTCCAAGAGGGATGCCCCCTCCAACAACATTGGGCGAGGGAGGCGGAGACCACCCTGGGCCCCCATCGTGAGACATCTAGGCATGATGACGTCAAGACGCCAAGACGCCAACGAACCAGTCCATGCATGCATCAGGGCATCACTCCATCAACGCGTTACTGCATCAAGACATGACGCGTCAAGCCTATCAAGGCATGAAGCGAAGGCATCAACGCATCGGGCGCACCAAGGCTTCGGTGCACCCCTCCGCTCCACCACCCTCCCCTCCACCACACACCAACCCCCACACCACACACCCAGAATGGAGTTTGGGTTGTGTGTGTCTGTCTGTCTGTCTGTCTGTCTGTCTGTCTGTCTGTCTGTCTGTCTGTCTGTCTGTCTGTCTGTCTGTCTGTCTGTCTGTCTGTCTGTCTGTGTGAATGTGTGTGTGGGGAGGGGCACCCGCGCCAGATCGAGACCCTCACCGCCTTCACCCCAACACCAAACCCATGGGGGATCCCAGCGCCCAATCGAGCCCCTCAACGAACTTGCAGTCTTACCCGCCAGTCCATCATTGGGGCGGCGGGGTGGGCGAAGGGGGAGTGAACACAACACCGATGGGAAGGCGGGGGGGGGAGGGGGGCGGCCGCACGGGTCCCGCAGGTCCCAAAGTCCCACAGGGAACCCCGGCCCCACCTGCCCCACAATTCCAAGAAGTCGCACGCCTCCCACAGGCCACACGGGACCCACAGGTCCCACAGGTCGCTCAAGTCGCAGGCCCCACATGTCCCACAAGTCCCACAAGCACCACATGTCCCACGGGACCCACAGGCCGCACAAGTCGTCTCACAGGTCACACAGGCCACACGGGTCCAACAAGTCTCGTGCTACTATAGGGCGCTTTGCTGGGGTAATGGGGTAATGAGGTTCCCGCCCAAGATGGCGCAGGCGGCCTCCAAGATAGCTCCAAGACAGCCCAAGATGCCCCACACATGGACCCTGGACCAAGAGGCCCCCAAGAAGCTTCCAAAAGGCTCCCAAGAGGTCACCAAGAGGCCCCGAAGAGGCCCATGAGCGGCCCCCACTAGGCCCCAAGATGCGCCCAAGAGACGCCCACGCCATCCCAAGAGGCTCTAAAGACCCAACGAGGCCCCCAAGACGGCCGAAGAAGCCTCCAAGAGGTCCCCACGGCGCCCCCAAGGCGCACCCAAAGCGCCCACAGAGACCCCCAGGAGCCCCTAGAAGGCCCCCAAGACGTCCGACGAGGCCTCCAAGAGCCGCCGAGAGCCATCCCACGCGCCTCCACGAGGCACGCGGCATCCAGGGAAGCCTCTGGCCCATGGAGGCTCCCCGACCTCCTCACACATGGTGCCACGCTCTGCCGATTGGGGCAGCTACCTCCCCTGGACATCGTTCCTGGATGGGGTGGTGGCGTAACGCGAAGCGTTCAGAATGTACACTCCTTCCTGTCGCGCTGTTGCACACGCACGGTGGCGGGGTTTGCCGCAGGCAACTATACATACGTACAAGCATACACACATACACACATACATACATACATACATACATACATACATACATACATTCATACATACATACATACATACATACACACATACATACATACATACATACAGACAGACAGTCAGACATACATACACACATACACACAAACATACATACATACATACATACATACATACATACATACATACATACATACACCCATACATACACACACATACATACATACATACATACATACATACATACATACATACATACACACATACACACATACACACATGCATGCACAAATCCGTCAATTCGTCAATACATGCATACACATATACGCAGGCATACATACCTACGTACATACATACATACACACAGCCATACAGGCAGACACACATACATACCTACCTGCACGCATGCGTACATTCATTCATACATACATGCAGCTACATATGCACACATACGTACGCACGTACACGTATACATACATGCACCCATACATACCAGCATACATACATACATGCATACAACCATACGCGCATACACACACACACATACGGACAGACAGCCACAACGACATACATGCATACCTTAATGGTTGCATCTGTGCATGCCAGCATACATACATGCATACATGCATGCATGTCTACATGCATACATGCAGGCAAGCAAGCATACACACGTGCGTCCATCTGTACATGAATCTATACACATACATACATACACACATGCATACATGCATGCATGTATGCATGCATGACTGCATCTACATATACATGCATTCAAGCACACATACATACATGCACAGACATACGCACACCACACATATGCCTACCCATACATACACCCATGCATACATAGATACATACTCACCTGCACACAGTCATACACACATACTTACATGCATGCATACATGCATACATGCATAAACACACACATCCATACACATATACATACACACAACCATACAACCATACATGCATTCATGCATACATGCATACATACACACAAACATACATATATACATACATGCATGCATGCATGCATGCATACAGGCAAATATACACATGCACATACGCATACACATACACCTACACCTACACCTACACCCATACACATACACATACACATACACACACGCATACGCATACGCATACACATACACATGCAACTACACACATACCTACATGCATGTACAGAGGTGTGCGTGTGTGACTAATTCTGTGCATGCATGGGTAACTCCTGGGTCTGCTCTGGCTGATCCCAAGCTTCGTGTTGACGGCTGCCCCACCACTGCATGCCCCTGATCAAGGCAACTCGAATGGGAATCATTTCTAGATTGGCCGGTGGGGGGTGTCGACAGTATGTCTTCCTCCAGGTGAAAAGCCAGGGGGGCTACTCAGAGGCGGGGGGGGCTTCTCGGTAGGCCACCCCTCGCTCCACCCCCTTCAGCACGCCGCGACACCTCAGCGTTGGTCGCGGAAGAAGCCACGCTCCGCTGGTGACCCTGGACGTGGCCCTCGGAGATCAGAGCGACTCGAAGGTCATGCGGCCATGAGCCCATGGGGGCAGCGGCCGAACCCGCAGGCGGCAGGTGCTGGTCCGAACGCATCCTGTGCTCCTGGACTTGCTCGGATATCTTGATGAGGTGCTTCTGGACACCGTGGCAGTTCACAATAATGTTCCTCGCGCCAAACGAATCCACGGCCAACTGAAGCAATGCCTGGACGGCCTCGTCCCTCAGTTTCGCCATGGGGACCTGGGGCCCGCTGCTCATATCAAATACAGTTCTGTAGCACGTAGGAACAGTGAACCTGCAGAAAGCCTTCTGGCTTCAACCGCTGCCTGAAAAAAAGGCACTCTCGCACCAAAACGGCTGCGGACGTCCTATCTGTGCCCGTTGAGGCGAAAGGGACTCATTCATTCCCGTTCCACGTCTAGTGTTTGACACCCTCCGTCCGTCCTGCATTTTTCGTCCCTCTTTCTCTCTCTCTCTCTCTGACGCGCATGCCGAGGGTGCGCCACCACCCCCATCTGCTGCGTCGCCCCAAGTCCTGGGTGAACTGCTCTTCTCCACATCAAGTTTCTTCCAAGGCCAGCCACAAGCCTTTAAAATCGGCACGGTGAAAAATGATTTGGTGGGGGGCATGACTTGAAAGCAGGGCCTTCCCCGCAGGACAAGCTTTCCCTTGCCCATGTCCTAAGTATGGGGTTATTGTTGTAAGAGTCGCGCATACGCGTGCTCACTCCCTCACCTCGACCTCACCGCCTGCTCCCTCTGGTATTCAGACTCACTTCCACTCAGACTCACTTGCACTTGCCAATCATATTGCAATCCCCACATCATCGGACCACCCTCGCTCAGACTCACTCATGTTCAGACTCGCTCACGCTCAGACCCATTCGTACCTTGAACGCTCAAACTTCGACGTGGTCATGCTCAGACTCACTCAAGCTCAGACTCCACATAGTCAGACCATACCCACTCCCCGTGCTGAAACCGACTCTGAATCAGATTCCTCCCGCAGTACTTCGACGGCCCCAGCGGCCCAAGGACGGCCTCAGGGAAGCACAAAACAGTGAAACGATCCCAAAACCCGCTTCTCCCTACGCAGATCTCGGGGATCTTCTGACCCGGGTCAATCCAGACCCGGGTCAGCAGGAAACCAAAAACTGCAATGCAAGAAAAAAGCTGCAACGCACATCTTCGCAAACCCGGGCCAGCCAATACGCGCGGCCGCCTCGCGGCCACGAACGGCTCGCCAACCCGGGTCAGCCAGAGGGGGTCTTCGCAGGACCCTGCAGGATCTGGCGCCCTTGGCTGACCCCCGTTTGCACTGACCCCCGTCTCTTAGGCCCCGAGAGGAGGAGGAGGAGGAGGAGGAGGAGGAGGAGGAGGAGGAGGTGGAGGGGGAGGAGGAGGAGGAGGAGGAGGAGAGAGGAGGAGGAGGAGGAGGAGGAGGAGGAGGAGGGGAGGAGGTGGAGGGGGAGGAGGAGGAGGAGGAGAAGAGGAGGAGGCGGAGGAGCTGGAGGTCTCGACCAATGCCCCGGCACGGGCGCTTCCTCCCGAGTCGTCCTTGACGGCCCTGGGCCCATGGAGGAGCTCCCAGAAGCCCACGGCTGCAACACACACACACAACACACACATCCTCCCCCTCCTCCTCCTCCTCCTCCTCCTCCCTCGTCTCCTCCTCCTCCTCCTCCTCCTCCTCCTCCTCCTCCCCCTCCTCCCCCTCCTCCCCCTCCTCCTCATCCTCCTTCTCCTCCTCTTCCTCTTCCTTCTCCTCCTCCTTCTCCTCCTCTTCCTCCTCAGCTCGGGTCTGCGGCGGCCGCTGGGGGCGATTGGGGAGCCCTCGGAACGCCCGCGTCGAGGCGCAACTGCTGGGGAGCACCCCGAGGCAAGAATCCTCGGGGAACCGACACCTCAGGAGAAGGCGTTTTGAACAACCCCGGAGGTGTTCCAGCTATAAGGGGGTGGCGCTTGTGGATGTTGGGTGGAAGTCGAAGATGTGGTTGCCCCAGGCAGTCCGCACTCCGAACTCTTACACTGCTGGGGTCTTGACGCTTCGTGCGAGTTCGAGGCGACATGGGTCTCCGATCGGAGGAGTAGGAGGAGGAAAGAGGAAGAGGAGGAGGTGGGAGGAGGAGGCGGAGGAGGGGGATGTTTCGACGTGTGACACGATCCATCCAGGAACACGTCTCTCGCCAGAACACGTTCCGAGTCGGATGCAACGGCGAAGCCTTCTGACAGCGTAGGGAACTGGGGGGGTCCCCTCCTTCTGATAGCGTAGGGTGTGCCGAGGAAGCGTCAGCCTGTCCGACGGGTGTGGGCCACCAATCGCCAGGATGTGGAAACAGGCCTGTCTCGAGCTGCAGGTTCTCTAACTCAATGAGCACCTCCTGCCCAGCGAGATCGAGTATCTTGTTCGTAACAAGCTCCTGACGCTGACCTTTGCAAGCCTGGCATGTCCATAAACGGTGGTAAGCTGTGCCTCTAGGCATTCCACAAACTGGGCAAATGTCCTCTACTTGCTTTCCAGTCGCAAGCGCTCGAGACACCGGCCAAACCCCGCGACATGCCACGGTGCGGATGCATTCCTTGTCCAGGGCCGAGAACTTCTTGGAGGACAAACTCTCCAGGATGACGTCGGGTCGCAACCTGGAGCCCGAAGCGTACGTGTTGTGTCACTGCCTCAAGCTCCGGCAACCTGCAGACGGAGGCCCTGATCATCCCGAAGCTCGACGGGCCCCTCCATCGTCCAACCCTGGCGAACAAGACAGGGACGTGTGCCCCCAGGGTTCTCTTGATGATTCTCTGGCTGTGGCAAGGTCCACGTCTGCTCCTCCTCCTCCTCCTCCTCCTCCTCCTCCTCCTCCTCCTCCTCGAGGCTGGGTCGCCTTCCAACCTGAGCAAAGAGCAGAGCGACCTCTCGCCCGCAGACGGTTTCAGGGTGGCTCGCGACACTCGCTTGACCTTAGGCCGCTCCCCGTCCGACATGCCACTAACTTCGCACCCCCTCCAAAAGCCACGATGTCCAGCCCTTCTTGGACTGCCCTGAAACAAACGTGTCGGCCGCGCCCTGGACCGCGGCCACCGTGGGCCCCGGCTCCAGGACAGACTGCCACCGCCCGTCCAGGCCAGGCTCGCTAAGCCAGGCGCGCGCGACGAGCTGCGCGTCGGAGAATGCGGAGGCGTGCGTCGTCCGTTTGGCTCCGTTCGATGAGGGAGGGGAAGGTGCTCAGTCTGGCGCCGTGCGCGGAGTGGTCCTGCGCGCTTCCCGAACTCCATTCGCGGCGCGCACTTCAGAACTCAACCAACGGACACCACGCGAAATCACGACCCAGCACGAGCCTCCACCACGTTTGGGCCACCTTGCCGCGGGCCCCGATGAAGGGAAGGGCGACGCCCATTCTTTCGCAGGACCCCCCTCGGGGCCCGATTCGCCCATCTCCTTCTCCATGCGGTACCCGTGCTCGACCCGCTCCCTCTGGCAACGAGCCAACTGCTCTTCCAACGTGACAAGAATAGCAACGAGACGCAACTGATCCAATCGTGAGCGGCACCGAGCCGCCTCCGTGACGTTCCCGATCTTCTCGTGCAGGCTGATGTGGGACTCCAGCTGCTGGGCGGTGAGCCCCGCCAGTGGTTGGTGACGAGGAGGTTGGGGGCCTTGGAGACCAGGCACCCGTGCATCACCTTCTTGAGACTGCTTGAGCAGGGAGGCGCCAGATCTGTTTGACCACGCTGACCACTGAGACTGACTTTCGTCACCCTGGGTGGCCTCGCAGTGCTTGCAACAAAAACATACCGAAGGGGGGGTTGCGGCGACACTCGCACGTAGGGCAAATCCATTGCCTGCCTAACAATGCAACGCCACCATCAGGACGAGGATGTTGAGGACCTGGAACCAGCGATGGCCAAGATTCGCGCCAAGGTGCCATCGTATAACCACTCCCTGAAGGCTGAGAACTCCAGGCGGCATGCCACGGTCGCCAAGAGGCCCTCCCTCCTTTGCCTCCAGCGCCGCCGCCTCCAGCCATGGGCCCCGCCCGCTGGGAGGGCGTGGTGGTGGCAGCTGCTCCAGAGGGACCACGAACTCAAGCCCCAAAGGCCGCCCGCAACAGGAGCGCGCCGTTCTGGAGATATGCTGTTGCAGGCGCAGGCCGAAACGCATGACCCAGAAGGAATGGATGAGGAGGGGGAGGGAGGAGTAGGAGGAGGAAGAGGAGGAGGAAGAGGAGGAGGAGAAGGGGGAGGGGGAGAAGGGGGAGGAGGAGGAAGAGGAGGAAGGATGATAAGGAGGAGGAGAAGGATTCCGTCATCGGAATCAGAGGACGCTTCTGGGCACCCAACGCCACCTCTGCTCGCAAGCCCACTGGGCGATCCGGTCGGATATCTGGTCGGTCACGCCGCGCTCGGCCTGGTCGCAGCAGTGCGACGCAACCAACCGGCAGCTGCAAGACATCACAATGCATTTGAGGGGGCTTTACTATCTGCGGCGTGCAGTGTGATTTGTAGGGCGACAGAATCTATACATATGTACTGCTCCCTGGCCAGATCCATCCTGAACCCAGCCGCGGTGTATACGCCACGCCCTCCTGGCTTGGCCAGGAGGGCGTGTGCACAGCTCCTGGATCCAGGAACGGCCTGGCTGGCCAGGGGACAATGGTTGTGTATTGACTTCGTCGCCCGGATCCAGGGGCGCAAACGTACTGCTCGGTCATTGTGCCCAGCACGACTGTCGCCAAACAGTGCAACACGCTTCTCCGGCGCTTACATGTGCAATAGAATAGCCCATTTGCAATGCGTCGCCAAAGCGCATTGCAACTGCAACGCGCGCAGTGCCGGACAACGCACTCTATACCAAACACGCCGACTCTTGACGCAACGAATGTTGCAAATGAGCCGTCGAGGTGTTCGAAAATCTTCCGAGACGCCTGCCTGCCTTCTGCGCTATCTGTCTTGCGGGGACAGCAAGCGACCACAACCACATCGAGGACGCATTATGGGGGATATTTTGGGCGTGCCAGCAATCGTCGGTCGGCGGGCTCTCCCCCCGAGGGACCCTCCAGAAACATCCACTTCGTTGTGGTTGTGGTTCTTTGTTGCGCCCGGACGTTTGCATGTCCTGCGGCCGCTAGGAGGCATGCGTTGCAACCAACGGCGGAAGGGCGCCATCAATTTCGCACGGGCCTGTCAAATATTTCAGTGACATTATACTGTTTGCCACAGCCCCGTTTTACCTGACCCCCTTTTGAGTTGCCCAGCCCTTCCTGTATGGCAGCCAGCGAGAACGATATCGGGGGGTCTGAGACTCTTAACCCAACAATATTGCCCACAGCCGCGGTGGTTTGCCCAAGACATTCCGTGTTCGTGA